TTACTTTTTTAAAAAATAAAATCTTAAAGCTACAGCTAAAGTCCCCTTTAACCGCCTCCTCTCCTCCCAGGCAAGCACTGGCAGTTGGTTTTCAGTTTCACATACATGTATGTTCATACATCCACCCCCATCTGTCAGTGTGTCATACTATGGTGGCTTGCATGTTGCTATATGCTTGAAGCTATGCCACTAGTATTTCAAATATGAGCAGGGTCACCCATGGTGAACAGGTTTCAGGAGAGCTTCCAGATTAAGACAGACCAGGAAGAAAGGCCTGGTGATCTACTTTCAAAAATCAGTCAATGAAAACTTTATGGATCACAACAGAATGTTGTCCGACTCACTTGCTTTGGACATGTCATCAGGAGGGATCCATTGCTAGAAGAGGACCTTGTGTTTGGTGAAGTAGAGGGCCAATGAAGCAAGGGAGACCTTCAGTAAGATGGATTGGCACAAGAACCACAATGATGAATTTGAACATGCCAGCAATTGTGAAGATGACAAAGGACTGGGCAACATTTCGTTCTGTTGTACATGAGTTGGAGTTGACTCAATAGCAGCTGTCTATCTATCTACATCCAAAACCAAACCAAACCCGTTGCTGTCAAATCGATTCCGACTCATAGTGACCCTATAGGACAGAGTAGAACTGCCCCACAGGGTTTCCATGGCAGACTGGCATATCTTTCTCCCAAGGAATGGCTGGTTCGTTCCAACCACAGACCTTTTGGTTAGCAGCCGTGTCCTTTAACCACTGCACCACCAGGGCTCCCTATCTACCTACATATATACATAAAATAGAATATATGGGTTTTTTTATTGACATGGAGGGACTGCTCTTATCATGGGGGCGGGGAGCTTTTTTAAAGAGAGGAGGGGTTGTAGCCTGAAACCTGGAAGCCTGAACCCACGTCCCAGGCTGAGCAGCGCAGTGGGGAGGCCATGTTCTGGGGAGACCAAGATCCAGTTTTAGTGCACTGGGCCACACCTAGTTGAAAAGTTTTCCGGGAAGAATTACTACTTTTATTTCTCTGGCTTGGTTTCAACCCACTTTCATATCTCTCAACTCATTTAAACTTCAAAAATCTGGGAAGCAGGGAAAGCAATCTTTATCCCCATTTGACAGCCGGGGAAACTGAAGCCCAGGGAGCAGCAGTGAGATGCCAGGGTGTCACAGCCAGTTGGTGAACTTGACAAAGAATTAGACAAAGGACTAGAGTTCTGGCCTGCGGCTCTTTCCAGAACTTCGGGCCAGAGGTGGGGCAGAGGCAAGGGAAGCCTGTGGCTCAGGCTGCTGGACTTTGGTCCTTGGCAATAAGGAAGAGAAAAGGCAATAACTTCAGGCAGTTAAGGTTGGCCGATGGTCAAGAAATTGTGGCCTGGAGAGAAGCAGGTGGGACAGTTCTCCCTCCTCAGAGGTCCCAGAGAGTAAACACACTCCGTGAAGGCACATCAAAGAGGCTCAGTAACTGAGAGCCAGGCTTAGTAAAGCTCCTACTATGTGCTCCTGCTAGGCCTACCCTGTGTCTGTCCAAAAAGATGCTGTAACCAAAAAATGAAACCAATAGCCATTGAGTTGATTCTGACTCATAGTGACCCTATAAGACAGAGTAGAATTGCCCCATAGGGTTCCCAAGGCTATAAATCTTTACGGAATCAGACTGCCACATCTTTCTCCCAGGGAACAGCTGGTGTGTTTGAACCTCTGACCTTTCAGTTAGCCACCAAACACTTAACCCCTCCTTAAAAGATAATCAAATTGCTCCTTAAGATATTCAGATTGCTTTCTTATCCTGTGTGTGCCGAGTTCCCCGTCCCCTACGCATAGTCCATCCCATATCTCATTTCATCCTCACCAGACCTTGCTGTTGTTGAGTTGCGACACTATGAACAACAGAACAAAATACCGCCCAGTCCTGCGCCAGCCTCACAGTCATTGCTATGCTTGAGCCCACTGTTGCAGCCGCTGTGTCAGTCCACCTCTTTGAGGGTCTTCCTCTCTTTCGCTGACCATCTACTTTACCAAGCATGATGTCCTTCTCCAAGGACTGATCTCTCCTGATAACATGTCCAAAGTATGTGTGAGGACATCTCGCCATCCTCGCTTCTAAGGAGCATTCTGGCTGTACTTCTCCCAAGACAGATTTGTTCATTCTTCTGGCAGTCCATGGTATATTCAGTATTCTTCACCAGCACCATAATTCAAAGGCATCGATTCTTCTTTGGTCTTCCTTATTCATTGTCCAGCTTTCGCATGCATATAAGGCGACTGAAAATAACATGGCTTGGGTCAGGAGCACCTTCGTCCTCAAAGTGACAACTTTGCTTTTTAATACTTGAAAGAGGTCTTTTGCAGTAGATTTGCCCAATGCAACACCTTGTTTGATTTTTTGAGTGCTGCTTCCATGGGCATTGATTGTGGATCCAAGAAAACAAAACAAAAACCCTCACACCGGAGAAAATACTGAAATTGTCAAGGATTTCGTTTTACTTGAACCCACAATCACCAGACCTTAGGGAACAGGAATTATTATCCCTGATTTTCCAGTGAGGAAATAGAGACCCCTCCAGTGGGAGAGGAGAAGCGCAAGTGGAGGCCCTGAGACTCCCATCCCGGGCATCTTCTTTGTCTAGTACAAGTAAGGCCCAGGGAGGGAAAGTGATTTGCCTGAGACTACACCAAGGTCAAGGACAGACCCTGGTCCTCTCCCTCCCCTCAGGGCAGTGCTCATTCACCACCCACGGCTACCCCTCTCCATCCTCTGGAAAGAGGTGGATTCTCAAGCTTCACCCTGGGGCAATCTTTATCCCCATTTGACAGATGGGAAAACCGAGCCCCAGGAAGCAGCAGTGATGGTGCCCATCAGGTCACGAAAATCACAGCTAACATGAGTACAGTTACCCATTGCATTTCCCGGCCCAGGCAATCTCGGCTCCTCCAGGCTTCTGTTTCTATCCGTAAAATAGGGGTAACGGAAGTGGGGGGTGGACTATGCGTGGCGGGGGCTCCGCCCCAGCCCGGGATGGCGCGAGCGGGGGTGGGTGGGGCCAGCGCCGTGACTCCGAGGGCAGGCCGGGGAAGAGCTGCCCAGCCGGTCGGACCGGCCCGGGATGCAAACGAGCCGCCGGGGCCCTCCCGGGGAGTGACGGGAAGGGAGGCGGGCCCGGAGCGGACGAGCCGGGGCTAGAGGCGGGAAGTGGGCGCGCTGGGCTTTGCGGGGCGCGCAGGCGGCGGGCCGACGGGCTGCGGACGGAGGATGGGATCCGGGCCTCCCCGCGGCCCGCAGCCACAGGAGCCGCGCTGACGCCGGCCGGGGCGACCCCGCGCCAGGAGCCAAGATGTGTCTGCGCCTTGGTGAGCGGCGGGGGCAGGCGGGCCCGGGCGGCTCAGACTCATCCCAAATCCTCCTACAGGGGCGAAGCACTGTAGTGGGAGCCTGAAACCCCGGGGTTCAGGTCGCCTTCTCTGCCGCTAACTTCCTGCGTGGGCTGGAGCAAGCCACTTTCCTCTCTGCGCGCCAGTTTCCCCAGTGGTGCGATGGAGGAAAGGGGGCTCCTGGGGTCTTGCTGATATGCCTCTGGCACCTCCGCCCCCACCACTACTTTTCTTTCTTGTGGAGGGGCAGGACTGCCCCCAGGGGCTTCCAGAGAGAAGAGATGCTGAAGGGAGTCCTCTATTCCACCCAGAGGGGGAGCAGAGGGAGATCCAGGCCCAGGGAGTTCCGAACTGGAGGCTGTCTGCCGGGCCTCAGCTTCCCCCGCCTTGAAAAGGGCTCCGGCTTTCAGGCCCTTCCCACCCCTTCCCTCCCTAAGGCCGTTCAGGACAGGCAAACAGGCATCAGGCATCAGCAAACAGGCAGAGGAGCAGGACTGATGTGCCCCCTCACCTAGTCCCCGGGTAGGTTGATGCTGCTTTTGGGTATCAGACAGCCCTGGTGAGTACCCATTCTCTAGCCTAAAGATCAGTGAGCCTCTGTTTCCTCATCTGTAAAATGGGGACAGTAGCCCCCACCTCCTAGGACAGTCGTGAGGATGAAGTGAGCTCCTACGAGTAAAGTGCCAGCCACATTCCTAAGAGCTCCGAGAATAGTAACTTAGGAATGATGCAGCCAGGGACTGCCCTGAAACCCTCTGTCCAGTGCCCCAAGCTGGCACTGCACTCGTTTGACCAAAATCTTGGTCCTGGGATGCTGTTGTTGTTGCCAAGCCCAGCCCTGAGCTGGGTGGCGCCTGGCCTCCCAGGTGAGTGGGTGGATGGGGCAAGGTGGGCCAGGTCACTGGGAGGAGGCTGCCGTGCCCCTTCCTGTTTGGCTAGCAGTGAATATGATGCCATTGCAGATCCACTGTGCGTGTTCAGCCCATTGTCTGACCTCTGCTTCTCCTAGACTTGGTCTGCTCTAGATGGCCCTGCAGGCAGGAGTCTCAGAAACCCGCTAGACCACCCCCTCCTCCTTTTACAGATGGGGAATCTGGGGCCCAGAGATGGGAGGGGCCAATGCAAGGTCACAGAGCGGGTCAGTAACAGAGTGGCCCCATCCTTTCCTGCTCCTTGAGGATTGCTACTTGATTTCATTAGTTTTTTTTTTAGCCGCAGAACTCCCATATATGAAATATAATCCAACCCTCCCAGCTACAGATGGGGAGACTGAGGTCTAGGAAAGGACTCAAAGTCAGGTCCCACAAGGAGCAGCTAAAGGAAGTAAGCCGGAAAAAAAAAAAAAAACCAAACCCACTGTCATCGAGTTGATTCCAACTCATAGCGACCCTATAGGATAGAGTAGAACTGCCCCATAGGGTTTCCAAGGAGCGCCTAGAGGATTCAAACTGCCAACCTTTTGGTTAGCCGAACTCTTAACCAGTACGCCACCAGGGTTTCCCTAAAGGAAGCAGATGCGGTTTAATTCTGGGGTGTTGGAGGCGGGAGCGGGGGCTGACCACAGCCTTCCGGTCTCACAGAGCAGGCTAGGGTGAGGGGGTGCGGGGTCAGGGGACCTGCATGGTGTGTATCCTGGAGGGCAGAGCCAAGACCCATGGGGAAAATTCCAGAGAGCAGATCTGGAACAGCCTGCTTCCTGTTTCTGGGAGTGTACGGATAAAGCTGGGCAGCCACTCACGGCTCAGGATTTGTGCATTGAGTCTTAGTGTTCTTTTGACCCCAGCCTCCACCCACCACCCCCTGTGCCTGCCCAATGCCCCTTGCACTGAGAGCTGGCCTTTCTCAGCTTGCCCCCCTTTCACATCCGTTTCCTCATGGGACCCTCCCTCCCCACTAGGAGACAAGAGCAGGAGGGATCATTCTTCCTGTTTCACAGTTGGGGAAATAGAGGTTCAGAAAGGTGGAGGGACTTGGCTCGAGTTACCAAGCTCTAGGCAGTTCAGGTCAGCAGCTGTATGTTCAGTAGCTACTGGGTGGCAGGCCCTGTAAGACTCGATCCCTGCCCAGTAGACTATGGGCTCCCTGGGGCCTGGACTGTAAAGCTCACTGTGGTACCCCCAGGGCCTGGCACGGAGCAGGTACTCAGTGAACATTTGTGTAACAAGCACATGAGTGAATGAATCAATGAATAGGGGGCTTAGTGGAAGGATCATGGGATCTGGAGCCAGAAAGCCTGGGTTCAAATCCTGACCCTGCCACCTATGACCTGGAGCAGTAGCATAGAGTGTTATTATTGTTGTTAGCTCCCATCAAGTTGGCCCGACTCATGGTGGCCCCATGTACAACGGGATAAGACGTTGTGATCCATAGGGTTTTCATTGGCTGAATTTTTGGAACTAGATTGCCAGGCCTTTCTTCCTAGTCTGCCTTAGTCTGGAAGCTCTGCTGAAACCTGTTCAGCATTATAGCAACACGCAAACCTCCAGCGACAGATGGGTGGTGGCTGTGCTTGGAGTACATTGGCTGGAAATCAAATGTGATTCTCCCTCATGGAAGAAAGAATTCTACCACGGAACCTCCACGGTCCCCAGCAAGGATTGTAGCTGTGTGCCGTTGAGTTGATTCCAACTCATAGTAACCCTATAGGACAGAGTAGAACTGCCCCATGGAGTTTCCTAGGCTGTAATCTTTACAGGAGCAGAGCACCAGGTCTTTTCTTCCATGGAACTACTGGTGGGTTCGAACTGCTGACCTTTTGGTTAGTAGCCAAGCACTTAACCATTGTACCATCAAGGACTACTTACCCTTTATGAAGTAGCAACTGTGTGCTTTTCCATCTTATTTCACTTAACCCTCCTGAGGACTCTCAGGAAGGCATAGTGAGCCCCTTTTATGGAAACTGAGGCTCAGAGAAGACAAGTTACTGGCCCCAAGTCATCCAAAAATAGGGTAGAATCCAATGTCCATCACTCGTGCCAGGGCCTCGGTTTCCTCCTCTGCCCAGCAGGATGAGCCTCACCTGTGGCCCTGACACAGCTGTCCCCCACAGGCGGCTTGAGTGTGGCTGACTTCCGGAAGGTGCTGATGAAGACGGGGCTGGTGCTGGTGGTGCTGGGCCACGTGAGCTTCGTTGCAGCCGCTCTGCTCCATGGCACTGTGCTGCGCTACGTGGCTCCCCCCCACGATGCTGTGGCTCTGCAGTACTGCGTGGTCAACATCTTCTCTGTCACCTCTGCCATTGTGGTATGGCCAGGCGGCTTGGGAGGGCAGCTGGCGGGAAGGGGCTGAAGGGGGCTTGAAGGCCTTTGATGAGTTCCCACCCAGAGCCTGGTAACAGGCAGACAGACCCAGGCACTAACTCTGCTCTGCCACTTACCAACTGCTTAAGTCACTCAACCTCTCCGTGCCTCAGCTTCCTCATCTATAAAATGGGGATGGTAACAGTGTCCATCTGAGAAGGTCCCGGTGAGTACTGAATGAGATTATCCACATAAAGTGCCTAGCGTAGTGCCTGGCACATGGCTACTGCTCACTACTGTGAGCTGGGATAATTATTACAATAGAGAAATATTCAAGGCTCCATTGGACAGAAGGGAGGAGCATCAGCTCAGCTTGGGAGGGTCTGGGAGGTTTTCACCAAGGTGGAGACCCCTGAGCTGGGTATTGATGGATGACTAGGAATTTACAAATGGGCTGTAATTACCATCACCCAGGTATGAGGCATGCTGGGGCTGGCAGATAGGGGAGGAAGCTGGGATGGCATTCCAAGCAGAGAGAATGGCAGGTGCAGAGGTGTGGAGGTGGGAATGGCTAGGGTTTATTCTGGGAACACCAAGAAAACCAGTTTGGCAGGAGTTTAGCATTAGGCTTGGCATATAGTGAGTGCTCAATAAATGGAGGCCATGATTGTGACTGGATGTCAGTACCTGTCTGATGAATACATGAATGAAAGGGCCTCATACTCTCAAGTTTGTGAAGTTCTTTCCCGCTGGTCAGCAGAGGTGGCCACAGCCTTTGGGGGGATATCCACACGTCAGTGTCTGAGCTCCAGCCCTACCACCTCTCTCTTCGAGCCTGATTCCTCTCCTGCAGACTGAAGCTCAGACAGCCTGCTAGCCCTCAAGGCCTGGGTGAAAGAGGATCCCAGGACCCAGCGAGTAGGGAAGCCTCAGTCTGCGGGACAGGCTGGACTGTGCAGATGTGTGTAGTGGAGTTACTCTTACTGCTATTGTTTGTTGTGAGGAAGGCAGGGGAGGCAGTGAGCTCAGGGATAGGAGGCCCACCTAACCTCTGGGCTGGACCACCTCAGCTTTGTCTGCATGACCTCAGTCAATTCTCAGGACTCCCAGCATCATGGGGCCATTATTATCCCCATTTTAACTGAGACTTGGGGACTCATCCAATCTCCTGCTGATACAAAGGGGCCAAATGGGGATTTAAACCTAGTTGTGTCTGACATCAAAGCCAGTGTCCTTTCTGTGAGCCCATCCTGCAGAGCGGAGCGTAGCCCAGAGAGGTTGAGGCACTAACTTGTGGTTGCACAGTAAATTAAAGGCATTGCTGGACCTAGAACCTGGAACTCCCATTGTAACACCTGCCTCCCACGGGTGTTGTCCAGTGAGGGAACTCAAGGAGGAAGGCAGGTAGGCCAGAGTCCCAAAGATCCAGAGGGCAGCTGTTGGGCTAAACAGCATCCTGCCTTGTGGTCAGGGAGGCCTGCAGGAGGAAGAACCTGAGCAGGGCTTGCAGGAGCTGGCCAGGTGGAGGGAGAAAGAAGAGTGTTCTTGGTGAGAGGTACCACATGGGTAGCACCAGGAGCAGGCTTCATGTGGGTGTCCAGATCCAGGGCAGTGAGGGAGGAGACTGGCCCAGGGTAGAGTTGAGAAGCTGATGGAACCGGGGCTAGGTCACGGAGGATTTTAAATTCTACTCCATAAAGTGTCCAGGGTTGTTTTAATATAATGATTTTGTTTTCAGTTCTGTGCCAGTTACTTAGTTTCCCCCTTCCAAAATCTCTCCCACTCCAGGGAGACATGTCACATGTATCCTGTGGCTTAGCATACCTGCTGCATGCCCCTGTGCCCTTGGAGTACACAGGCCCCTGTTTGAGATGCTCAGCTGGAGGCAATGGGGAGTCATGGAAAGTTTTAGGTAGGGAGCACTTATATTTTAGAAACATGGCTCCAGGGCTGTGTGGAGGCTAGACCACGAGGAGCCAATACCTCGGTGCAGATGGAGGTAATGAGGCCAAAGCTAAGCAGGAGGTGAAAGGAATGGGTGGTTTGGAGGGCCTGGGTGGCATTAGAAGAAACTTTATCTGAGCGTGGCCCTGACCCCTGCGCCCACCCAGGACTGACCCTAGCCTCCCCACAGGTCATCACCTCAGGCATTGCTGCCATTGTGTTGTCACGCTACCTCCCCAGCATCCCCCTGGTATGTGGCCACTCCTGGGGTGGGGGAGGGGGAGGGGGGTAGGGACAGCAAACCACCCAGGGCCTGGTCTGCTTGGAGGGGGTGAGGCTAACCCTCAGGATGGCTAGAGCTGCCCATAGGAACCAAGCCTGATGTCCACTGATGAGTGGCCTTTCCCATCCAGCGCTGGACAGTGTTCGGCTCAAGCGTGGCGTGTGCCCTTCTCTCACTGACCTGCGCCCTCGGCCTCTTGGCCTCGATGGCCGTGACCCTTGCCACCCAGGGCCGGTCACTGCTGGCTGCCTGCACCTTTGGGAGCCCTGAACTGCTGGCGCTCGCACCTGACTGTCCCTTTGACCCCACACGCGTTTATGTGAGTGCCTGGGCCTGGGGGGAGGGGAACACCCAGCTGCTCATTAGGTTGGGTGGGAGGGGCTCTTGGAGTCCTGCCTCTGCCCCAGCCTCTGACAGCCATCTCTGCCTGCTGCAGAGCTCCAGCCTGTGCCTCTGGGGAATTGCGCTGGTGTTCTGCGTGGCAGAGAGCGTGTTTGCTGTGCGCTGCGCCCAGTTCACCCACCATTTGCTGGAACTGAGACCCTGGTGGGGGAAAAGCAGCCATCATCCCGTAAGGCCCGCCGCCCCCTCCATGGCCCCGATTCCCCCTCCATGGCCCCGACTCCCCATAGCTCCTGGGAGCCCCTGCTGGAGAGCCCAGGCTGGCCTGCCCCCCACCCCTCTGTGCAGGGCCCCCACCTTGAGAGCTGGGGCAATAGTTTTTTCCCCTGGGATCAAGGGGAGAAGCCTGAAGGCTCAGAGAGGTTAGATCTCCCAGCTAAGTCACACAGCTGGCACTTGGCTTTTCCAAGGCCCAGGATGAGTCTTAACAGAGGGGGAGGGGTGTTTGGGTTTGAATTGGGGGCACTCCAAGCATCTGGCTTAGCTGTTACATGGGGAAGAGTAGTGATGCGCCCTTGCCCCCAGGGATCCTCCAAGATACCCCCCATTCTCTGGGTGTCCTGGAGGAAGAGACCCAGACCCAGTGGGCCTGGCAGCCTCCTGTATCTCCACAGATACTGGAGAGCCCAGAGCCCACGGAGGGCTGCGACGTGCTGAACTGCACCAGCTCGGAGCTGCTGACCCTCTGAGGGCCGACACCTCGCTGGACCTATGGCCACTGGGGTCCTGTGACCAAGTCTGCACCGTGACCAGGCCGGAATCCCTGCAGCCAGCCCAAGAGGACTCAATGGACACTCGGGCACCCGGGTTAGACCCCCTCCCTGGCAACCCAGCCCACTGCACTGAAACGAGACTTTATTCAGAAGTTATTAAAAAGAACAGAGATGCTCCATGTGGATGCATGCAGGGGAAGGGGGGGAGGCTCAGCAGGGGGCCTGTGCTTCATCCCCACACGGGACGCTTGTGTGTGGGGGCTCTGGGTACATCTGGGCCTGTGTTTGTGAGAGGGGGAGGCAAAATACACCGAGGGGGTCTGTGTGTGGCTAGCTGTGTTGATCCAAGTGCTAAATGGCAGGTGGGGGTTCATGAGCCCCACAGCTGGGGGCTGGAATGCTGGGAGTTTTTCCTTTTATATCATGGCCCCCAGGCCAGAAAGAGCTGGGGCAGGAAGGGCTGAGGCCCCCTGCAGGGAAGGATAGCTCAAGGAAGCTTCTTCCTGAAAACCCTCACCCCTGGAATCCTCCTCTCCCCTCCAAATAAAAAGGCAAATTCCTCACCTGGGCACCTGGGCAAGACTTCTCCCCTCCCCCCAGGCTGAGACCTACTAGGTAGGGAGCCTGCCCCGTGGCTGTGGGAGGGAAGTCTGGCCTCTTGGTGGCTGTGTGTGTGTTGGTGGGGGGGGGGTGTTGAAGTTACGATATCAAGATGCGGGGGCTTACTGAGGGGCAGACCAGGCCGGAACCTGTGTCTATCACTGGGGAAAGGAGATGTTGTTTCTTGGATTGGGGAGTGCTAACCGCCTGCTTGCTTTGGGCCTTGGGGGAACTGCAGGGTTCCCTTCTCCATAGGCCCCCACAGTGCAGACCCTGGGGGTCCCCAGTCTGGCCCCCAGCCTGGCCCCGGGTAGACACGAGGGGAGGGGAAGCTGAGGGCCGGTGAAGGCAGCGAGGAGCGCGGGCAGGCTCCTCTCGCTCAGAACTGGGAGGCGCTGCTGGGGTCGCACTGCAGCAGGCGCACGATTGACGGGTCGCTCTTGGCCCCGCGGATGAACTCCTCCAAGGACAGCTTGCCTGCGGGACGAAGGAAGCAGTGATGGGGAAGAAGGCGGCCGCAGGGCGAGAGAGGCTGCGCAGCGCAGTAAGAGAGAAGAGAGAGTGGCGCCCGTCCGCCCGCCCCCGCCCCCTCACCGTCGTTGTTTGTGTCCATTTGGCGGAAGATTTTCTCGGTCCTCTTTTCCGGAGTCGACTCGTCCTCAGGCATCTTCATCACGGACGAAACCATTTTGTAAATGGCCTGGGGGGCAGGAGGGGAAGGCAGGGAGTGAGAGGAGGCGGCCTGAGCCCCCCAGCGTTACCCCCGCGTCCAGGCATTCTGTGACATTGGCTGAACCCCGCTAGGGTGGGGCGGAATGGGGGTCACGGAGGCTCTGGAAGGAGGGGGCTGTTGGAGCGGGCTTTGACCTAGTTCCCATGGAGGGCTAGGTGGGAGAGGATTGCTGGCTGAAGGAGATGCATGAATAGAAGCACCGCAGCGTGAAAGTTCCGAGTGAGTGACTGAAAGGAGGGTCAGGAAAGACGTTGGAGGACTTTGGGGCCCAGACAGTGAAGGGCCTGCAACGCTGGACTTCTTCGGAGCTCGGGCCTGGCCGGGCAGGTTCCGGGGTAACCGGCTTAGTCCTGCTTTTCAGGAACACCGCGGCTCCAGCGGCCCACGCTTCAGTGGCCAACAGGGGGCGCCCGGCGAGGCAGGGGTGGCACTAAGCTGCGGAGCCGTCTGTGACCAGCAGGGGGCGAGAGCGGTGCCGAGAGCTGGAGGGTCCCGGGCAACTGGGCCTGAAGGGGGCGGGAGGTATTATGCAAATGAGCATGTGCCGGGGGCGGGAACAGCCTGGGCACTGCCAGGCCGAGGGTGGCGGCTGCCATGTGCAGGAGCTCCCTGGGCAACTCAGACCGAGGGCGCGGGATTTTTTTCACCAGATGTCCACAAGGCACTGAGGGCTTGGTGGGTGGGAGCGTTGGGTCCCATCACCCCAGAATTTAAAACCTGGACCTCTTCCCACTGCTGTGGAGTGGATTCAGACTCATAGTGACCCCACAGCCTTTCCAAGGCTGTAAATCTCTACGGAAGCAGACTGCTACATCTTTCTCCCGCGGAGTGGCTGGTGGTTTTGAACCGCCGACCTTTCGGTTAGCAGTCGCCACCAGGGCTCCTTAGAACCGGAACAGTAGCCTCAATCTCTTCTAGTTTTTCCCAACACCTCCTCCAAGAAGCCTCCCTTCTCCCAGCCCATCCACTGCTCCTGCCTCAGATCTGGCTTCAGCCTCCGCACTGGTCTCTTCCCCGCCTCTTTCACTCGGGTGCGCGCCCCCACGCTGCCTATGAAAGTTCTTTCCAAACACGAATCTCCACCGCTACCTCCCCAGCCCAGCGGGCCGCCCCCTCGCGCCAGCTACTCCTCCCCCCAGGCCTGCCAGCGCACCTAGCTCTTTCTGGATGCTGCCCCACGCGCCTTGTGCTGCATCCCACTCCCCTGGGGCTCAGCCTATGTGGCGCTTTCTTAAGGACATCTCTGACCCAGCCCGGTCAAGGAGCGGTTATGCGAGCCCAGAGCCTTCTGGGCTTTTCCTTTGGAGGACACCTCTCGGGAAGTAATTATGCCCTTGCGGGACTACTGTTGTGTGCCTTAGAGTCAATTCCGAGTCATAGCGACCCTACATGGCAGCGTAGAACTGCCGCATAGGGTTTCCTAGGCTGTAATCTTTACCGGAGCAGATCGCCAGGTCTTTTCTCCCAAGGAGCAGCTGGTGGGTTCGAACTGCCCACATTTTGGTTAGCAGCTGAGCACTGTGACCACCGTCACCAGGGCTCCTCCCAGCACTGTTGTAGTCCCCATCATACAGATAAGGACCATGGCCATCTAGCTAGCACACACATCCCAAGAACCTAGCACAGAGCCTGGCATCTGGAAGGGACTCCTCTGTTTAAAGCCATTGACACCTCCCACTGCTCTCTGTACCAAGTCCAAACCACTGGACATTCAAGGCACTTCATGCCCTGGCCGCTGCTGACCTCTCTATCATCAGGCCTCCCAAAACCCTGGGCTTTTCAGACGTCCCAGCTTGTACAGCCTCTGCCTGGAATAATAACACTCACTACCAATTAACAGGCACCTACTATGTGCCAAAGTAGTCCTGGTGGCACAGTGGTTAAAGCACTCAGCTGCTAACCAAAAGGTCAGCAGTTTGAACCCACCAGTCCATCTGCAGGAGAAAGATGTGGCAGTCTTCTGTAAAGATTTACAGCCTTGGAAACGCTATGGGGCAGTTCTACTCTGTCCTACGGAGCTGCTATGAGTTGGAATTGACTCGACGGCAGTGGATTTGGTTTAGTTGGTTTACTATGTGCCACGTACTTTACATGCATTATCTCTAAGCCTCACAACAGACCTGCAAAGCAGGTAGCATGATCCCCATCTTCCAGGTAAGAAACCAAGGCACAGAAAGGGAATTGATGGCAGAGATGGATTTGAACCCGCTCCCTCTTAAATGCTTAGGCAGTGTGGGGTGGTGATGAGCAGAAGAGACTTTGACATAAGGTGAGCCCCGAGTAGCATCCCGGTTTTACTACTCACTTGCTGTGTAGCCTTGCACAAGTACTTAATCTCTGTGAACCTCGGTTTCCTCATCTATAAAATGGAAGCAATCATGTCACCCTCAGTTAGGGCTGTCCAGAAGATTAAAAGAGGTAATGGTGTAAACCAGTTGGCACAATGATTGGCACTACAGTAAGCAGTACACATCAGCTGGTATAATCACTACCATGTCCTCAGGCCTTCCTGCCTCTCAGTCCCCTGGGCTCCCAGCTGTTGCCTTGTACACCCCATCACAGAACTGGCCAGTGTGGCCTGTATACTTATCTCCTCCACCAGAGTGGGGGCCCCACGAGGCTGAAACGTGGTCTCTCTCTCCCAGTGCGCCCACTGCTGGGTGCAGGGCTAGGTCCCAAGAAGGACTTGGTGTGAGTGACAGAGAGTAACTGCTCCCTTTGTGACAACTCCTCCCCTGGGCCTCCTCATTAATTGGCTGGAATTGCTGCTCTATCATTGTTTCACTGGAGCTGACTTGTAATTAATCAGAGCTCTGTCTGCACCAGTCTGAGGCCGCCAGACGGCCAGGAAGGAAGGCAAGTCCTAGATAGCAGAGGCCAGCCAGGAGGGGTCCCAAGGATGCCCGTGGAATAGGGCTGATTTGACCAGTTTGGTGCTGCCATTGAGGTTGACATTTACGAGTACACACCGGCATGACCACACTAAGTGTTAAAACATTAGTATCCCTCCAGCTGCTGCCCTATCCCCCTGTGATCCTCCACCACCCTGGCTACCCCGATCTTTCCACCAGGACCTCCAGAGCTCCCCACCATACAGCAACTAAAGAGTTAATGCCTGGCCCACGGGAGTCTGTGACAAACATTAAGGATTTCCCCCTACCTATAGGTACAAGGAGGGCACCACACCTCAAGGAAGCCCATTCTACTCTAGCTAGAGAGAGCAGATCCAGACCCTTAGCAAGAGGAGAAGCCAAACTCAAGAGTGCGGTAGGGGCTGGAGCAGTTGGAAGGGGAGAGCAGTCAGTGGAGCCAGAAACAGTCAGTGGGGCCAGAAGTGGGGCGGAAGGAAAGCAGACAAGAGCTTGTGCAAAGCTGTGTGGCAGGATTACTCCGAGCGCATTTTAGGAATGCTGAAAAGGCCATTCTGGCTAGAGTGGAGGATGTGCAGATGAGAAAACAATTGACAATCTCTAACATTTACCAAGTACCAACAATATGCTGGGCCCAAATAGCCTTGTGAAGTAGGGGGTTAACACTCTCATTTTACAGGTGAAGAAACAGAGGCTCAGGGGAAAAGTGGGCAAGAAAATTGAACCAGAGCTCAGAGAGTCTCCAATGCTGGGCTGAAACAGTGGGCGCTCTG